AAAATGACAACTTTTTCACAAAAAATTAATTTTTTTAACTTAAATTTTGAAAATGTTCCGGAAGGTCTGACACTTTTATATATATCTTAAATTAAAGCTAATGTAATATGCTTTATTATGAAAAAAAAAAATTTCGAACTTTATTTTATCTTCAAGGTGAAAATGGCTACCAAATGCTATTATTGTGTGAAAATTCTCAATTTTATAATTTACATTTTTTACTTTAAAGTGCTATAACTTATTGAAAAGTTTATGGATCTACACAATTTTTTTATGACAAATAATATTTTTTAATAAACCCTTTTTCATTTAACATACTTTATCTTAATCGAGATATTAATAAGGAACCAGCAGATCAAGTAGCTTTTGGAATAAAACACCAATTTTTTTAAAATTAAACACTATCTAAAGATTTGCATCGAAGCGTTTATTTTTGATAGTGATTTTAATCACTGTCAGATATCATTTACTTGATCCAACTATGACACGTCACCACTGTGCCGCGACCCCCCTGTGCTGGGTTTTTTATTTACAGTGTAAGGTGAGGTGGAATATGTAAGTACCTTTTTTAGCTTCGATGCGAAGTTATCCTCAACATTAACCTCAAAAATTGAAAAAATTTTCCTCAATCCCCATAAATGGGGAAATTTCCAAAAAAATTACAAATTTAAAAATTGCTAATTTTTGACATTTTTTCAATTTTTTTTACTTAAAACTACCATAACTTTATAAAAAAATGACCAAATCAATATAATTTTTTTTTATATAGATGCATTATGTCTTTATCTATCATTTGGTATATTTTATTTTATAAATCTGACCCTTTACCTGTCCACAGGGGAGGATTCGAAATGACAATTTTTTCACCAAAAATTAACCTTTTCAACTTATCTTTTGTAAGTGTTCCGGAAATACTGACACTTTTATATATATCTTAAATTAAACTAATGTAATATACTTTATTATGGAAAAAAAAAATTTCGGACTTTATTTTGTTTTCATGGTGAAAATGGATATCAATATCCATATATAGTATTAAGTATATAACTATTAATATAACACACGATAATATCATTTATTTGAAAAACGAATTTTTAACGTCAATGTCAATTATTTAAGTTTCATGTTTAATTTTTTGACATTTTTTTATTGGTTAGGTCATCACATAAAATTAATTATACATTTTTAAATAATCCAATTAATTATCTACTTAATTAATAAAATCTACACAACTGGTATCACACCTACTCCGAAACACAAACGTACTATAATAATATAGTGTAGTTAATCGTTTATTTGGAATTAGTCGCTTAGAAAAACAGTATTTGATTATATATCTAACGGTATCAAATTTTACAAACATGTAATAAGAAACTATGTCATTCGATACTTAATAATTATATATAAACAGTACTTAAAGCATAAAACTTTGAACAGTTGAAAGAAAACAACATTACGTTTCGACGAAATTTCTTCTTATGATAAACTATAAATGTTATAACATCTTAATATCCAGCAGACACAATTGATTGTTTTATTTCAAAATTATCGATACTATAAATAAAGAATTCAATTATCCTATTCAAAATTTCTTGCAACTTCCTTTTTAACATGCTTATATTAGTTTCACATGTATGTTTGTTGTTTGTTGTAAGTTTGTAACTCCTCTCGGCACGTGTTATTATGTCGCGTATATATATATATAAACAAATTTTTATTGTTTATTATTAGATATCAACATTTAAAGATTCAAATTTTTTTCAGTTAATAATCATGTATAATACAAAAGGGATTACAAATACAAGTAGTTAACTGGTTTTTTATGACGATATTCACAGGTATATAGCCTTTATTATTAATGGTAATAAGACACATTGTCGTGAGTTTATAAATACACTAATTGGCAATACAGAAATTATATTTATTGATAGTCATAATTTACAATAAACACTTCGTGACTGTGACAGCGATATCATAAAAAACTAAAAAGTAAAAAATAAATATAGTTTAAAAAAAACTGAAAAACACGCTTTTAAAGCACATAAAATTAAAAAGTTAAAAATAATTTTTAACTTTTTAGTTCGATATACTTTAAAAGCGTGTCTTTTTTAACTATATTTATTTCATTCTTCTTTCCTCTTCTAATTATATATTTCATTCCACTCTGCCACGTCTAATGCTCACTGTAAATAATAACCCTGATTTATTGCACTCTTATTAAGCGCTCTTATTAAAAGCGCTGACAACAATTTCCCTGGATTGGGGGTACTATCATCTTACTATAAAAAGCACTGAAATCCTTTCAGGCTCGAAGGAGTGATAGCGAGCGAGAGAGTTCGTTTTCTCCGAATTGAAATAAGAATAAAAAGAAACAATTATCAGTCACAGCCCTGTGTTGTTGTCGGCTGACTTTTACGCGTTTTATTTATATATGAAAAGAACTTGTTTTAATTATTTATCTTTTGAAGAAGTGCGAATTAAATACTTTTAAACATATACATATGTTTAAACATAAACATATCGAGATATTTAACAAATCATTTTACAGCAATTTGCAAGAATAAAAGAAGTAAGTAATTTTATGTTATCCCAGTGGCGTATTTTGATTGATTTCTCGGGTGGTGTCCAACTTTTAATGAACCTCACAAACGAAAATTATAAAAATGTTTACTGACGTAAAAAAAACTTATTATTTTTCTAATTACTATTTTAGGAATTGACAAATAATTTGAAAATTGAAATTTTGGTACTGTTGTATCTTAAAAGAAACAACCCTAGTGTCTTAACTTAAAGTAATAAAAGTTTAATAATAACTCAAATGTATTTATTATAGATATAATTAAACAATGCAAAACATACAAAATAAATATACACTAAAAACACAGTAAAACAATACACAAAATGAAAACTTAATGTCACAAACGTACCGCACGAAAAGAGATTACCTTTGGTGCTCCTGAGGTCCTCTTTCCTCTACGATTCATTCCATTTCGTCTTATATACTAAAATATTTTGTTTTTCTTCTTTTTGCAAAATTAATAATACTATCGTTTTCAAAAATGTTTATAAATATTTAATTCCTGGTCTAGTAATAATAGATCAGGAAATTACAATTAAACAAAACATTACAAAAATGTTTTACTTCCAGCTTTACAAATGATAAACTATATTACAGTATACAGACTGATTTTTTTATCATAACCCACTCATTTACTTGTAGAATAAATATAATTTAAACATTATTTTTGGTTTTCTTTAGTAACACATTATTCTTAAATTATTAACTATTTAAAACTTTTTATGTTCATCCCTTATGCCTTGTAAGGGTGTCAACTTTGTCAACTTTAAATGGGAACACATATTTTGAATATAATAAAATGTTTGGATTTTTAATTAAATAGTAAATGGCATTTGAATTTTTAATATAACTTTATTAGTTTATTAGATATAAACATTTAAAGTTTCAAATTTTTGAGTTAATATACATGTATAATACACATGATGATATGATTACAAATACAGGTAGCTAAATGGTTTATATGATATCAATGTCGCAGTCACGGATTGTTTATTATCAATTATGACTATCATAGATATACTTTCTGTATTGTCAGTTAGTGTATTTATAAACTCACAACAATGTGCCTTACTACCATTGATAATAACAATGCTGTGTACCTGCTAATTTCTTTGAAGTTGTTTTAAACAAAGTAACTCATAACTAAATACTTTATTTATAATAAGTAAACAAATAATAAAATCTCCTTTCAGTATTGATGTTCGTAAATTACTTGCTTTTGATGATGTTTCAGTGTCATTCCACTTCGAAATTATAAATAACGATTCAATTAGGTACACAAAAAGCTCAAGAAAATCATTGACAGTATAAAAACGTTCAACTCATTTAGTCGCACATAATTGTTTTAATGATTTTTTAGTTATACATTTTTGACTTTCTTCGATTTGACTTTTCAACACATCTTTTCGCTTTGGGTATATGAAAAAATCTCTGACTTTAGATGGTGTTCCTAATTAATTTCGTGTTTCTTGTATAGAAGATGAATAAGAAATAGCAAGGTTTAAAACATGAACAGTACAATGAACAAACGTCGCAAGCGGATAACTTTGGTGAATAAGAGATTGAGCTCCGTTAAATTGACCAGACATAGAAGCACATCCATCGTAACACTGTCCTCTAAGGTATTTTGTTTCTACACCAAATGAATGTAAACTTTGAATAATAATATATAAACCTTTTCCAGTAGTATCTGTTGTAGACACAAACTGAAGAGTTCTTCCTTGATAATTATATTTTCAACATCTAAATATCGAACACACAAAGTTACTTGTTCGCTTCCACCAATGTCGGCCGTTTCATCAGCAAGTATTTTGAAACATCTTTGAGCATTTATGTTTGTTACGATTTTATTTAAAATAATTTTATTACAGGATTCAATTATTTCATTTTGAAGTGTTTCAATTGTATATTTTATTGTTTCTTCAACTTCCAAAAATGATTTTAAACGGTCATCTCCTTGGGCACTGTATCTCTAAAATTTCCTTAATTTTCTTGGATAATTTGTCATTTTCATTGAAGTTACAAAGATAGCCGTTATTGTCAAAAAAAAAAAAATAATAATAATAATAACATTAAAAATGCAAAGAATAATTAAACATTTAGGTAGTTAAACCCTAAAGTTATTTTCGATTTGTTAAAGTCGTTAAAATTAATTCAAATCTCCTGTTATTTTCTTTTATCAGAATTATTATGTCATTAATTCAGTTATTAATTAAATTGTTAAATTATATTATATATTCAACTTAATAAATTTTTATGTTGATTATAATCGCATGGCATTATGGTTTTTGTTAATAACTAAATGGAAATAGCAATTTCACATGGGCAAAATTTTTAATAGTTGCAAGAGAATAAATCCAAACGTTGATATTTTATTTCATACAGATTAAATTTTATATGCATAAATATTCTGTTAACCGATATCAAATTTATTCCACTTGAACTTTCATAAAAAAATCTCTATCATTTGTAAACTAATGTAATAAATAAACAAACAAATACAAAAGGTTTTTCTTCAAAATATATATATATATATATTTTTTTTATTTTTGATAATTCTCTGTATTATTCTTAAAATATTGTATTCTTTGACCAATAATACAATTAAAATAAATAAGTATTGTTTATACTAAATTTATTTATAATTGGCTTATACATTTTTTTAATGAATTTTTACAATTAAGTTTCCTTGACAATTAGATGTAAATGTTGATTTTATCGACATTCCAGTTCACTTCGTCTTTTCCCGTGAAAAATAAACAATCGTCTTGTGTAATTATTGAGATTTATTTAATTAGTTATTGATATGGCAAGTGAAAAAAATATTTTTGGTCAAACAAATGAATCAAACTTACATAAGGTCATACGCAGAGTTGAAGAAATATGGAATCGTCGTTTCATGCATTCCAATTGTGTTTTAAATAATACAAATAAAGGACAAATATCAAAAAAGTCAACTAAAGATGTAAGAATTACCTGTAAACACTATTAAGATTAATAATTAAACAAACTATTTCGAATAGAGAAAAAGTTTTTTAATATAAAATATAAGAAAAATTAATAATAAGTTCTCTTATTCATATATGACAATAATTCAGTCGCTTTACTTTAATTTAACTATTTTAATATTAAAAACCTTTTTCGAAATTGATTATTTAATTAATAATTATTAAAATTATATTCAATTTGCAGCAATTATTAATAAAAATATTTATCCTATAAAAAATTCCATTATTCCAAAAAAACGCACGTATCGAAAAACGAATAAAAATGATAAAATTATTCCAGAAAAATTGGTAACTATAATTATATTAATATATTTATTCGATTTAGCTATGTTATTGGGATTTGTCTGATTCAAAAATATAAAATAAACTATCAATCCCCTTAATATAAATGCGGTAACATAATGTTTAATATTATTCTGCTATTTTTTCTATTAGATTTTTATGGGAAATTCAATTTTTATCGAAGATAATAATATAATATTAAGTATAGTTTATTTGTTTATTTAAATATCTCTTTGGTTACCTAGAATATGATGCAGCAAAGAGAATTCGGAACACTTTTTCAGAATGAAAAATCTGAAAAATATAAAAATGAAATTTTAAATTCAACAGAAAAAAAATATAGCAATTTCAAAAGACAATCCGCTATTAATATCAGCTGATTTGTTAGAAAAGGTATATTTTATTATGCTTTATTTCAATAAAAAGATTTTAGGGTATACCCTAAACCATTTTTTGGACTTAAAGCAGATTTCTTAAATAAATTTATCATATAATTAAATATATTTTTATGATCCGTTTAGAGTTTTCATAAGAAGAATTTGGAACGCAAAAAATCCGAAATAAAAAAACAACTTTTTGAGATATCTTCTAATACTACTGCTCGACCAAATTTAAAAAGAAATTCATCCGAAGAAGATGAAAAAGTCATAAAAAGTATACAACTTTTAAAATATAATTCATTTTTAAAAAATATGAAGTTTTGATTTTTGAAACAAATATGTAATATTTTTAAACATAAATTATTTTAGAGCCAAAAGTTAGTTCTAATCCTTTGACCTTAAATACGCCGAATGACGTAAATTTACTTGCTCTGTCCACTATTGAAGTAATAAAAGTACCAGAGAAAGAAAAAGGTAATTAGTTATTTAATCTATTTATTTTATGTAAAATTAAATAAAAAAAGATTATTTATTAAACATAATTAATTATAATAATACGAGTTAAATTAATATAACTTCTGCAGAGGCGTGTCATTAAGGGGGTCCATGGACGTTTTAAATAAAAGTAATTATACGTGTTTAATTTCATATTCCAAAACCTTAAATAAACCTAAATAATAGTAAACTGTTCAACAAAGTCTTTTATTAATTTTATGAAAAATGTTTAAATATGGTTACACTTGCAGAAGTAATGCAAGATCAGAACACAAAATCTCTTGATCAGTATAATGCACCTTCATTTAAATCGCCCACATCATGGTATACTTCAGACACAATTAATGAGTACATTAAAATGATAGTAAAACGGTCAGAAGGTGAAGTTTATGCAGTTGTCACTGATTTTATTGTAGCGTATCTTCGAGGAGGTTATCCAGCTGTAAGAAGATGGATAAAAAAAGATTTTCACACAATAAAATTACTTTTTGTAGCCATGAATGTATATGAGAGTCATTGGATATTGACAGTGGTTAATATACCTGAAAAGACTGTGACATCATATGATAGTCTTAAGTCGTATGAGGGTCCCTATCCAATGGTATTAAAAAATTTCTTAATTGAATGGGAGATGGACAAAAAAGGAAAAGCTTCTACATGGACATTACAAATAGGCGAGACATCTCGCCAAACCAATGGACATGATTGTGGGCCATTTACTGTTGAGCTGGCAGAAAAAATGTCTCGAGGTGATACAACACCAATAAATGCAAATTTTATGCCTTTTATAAGATTAAGACACAAAAATGAAATTATTGCTGGCGAGCTATTCAATTAATATTTTTATGAATGAAATTTTATTTTTGTATTTTATATCAATTTTCTTAATATTCACTATAAATTGAAATTTTTATTTGTATACCAAACATTTTTTTACTTTTTCTATGTTTAATTGTAGTTTTGTTATTGTATTTTAATCTTATTTTTCTTTGTAACATTTCATTTAAGANTTTTGTTATTTTATTTTAATCTTATTTTTCTTTGTAACATTTCATTTAAGAAATTCAAATTTAATATAAATTTATCTTAACTGAAATAATTTATTGTTCTTGTTATGTGAATATACAAATATTATAATATACAGTTATGGATACAATTAAGTTAAAAAGTCAGCCAATTATAAATTTTTAAATTAACAAGCGTATCTACTATCTTAACTTAATTTTAATTTTACTAAATGACGATTCATAAAGAATTTCATAACTTTTGTTTTTTTTTTAAATACTATTTTAATTATAAAAATTATTTTCTGTATTTTTTATGAATGCGGTATATTGAATAGGGGTAACTAAACTTATTTGTTTATAATTCTCTAAACTGATAAACTATAAAATAAATTTAAAAATGAACTACAAGTTCAGAATATTTCCGTTGTTATTATATTTTTGCTAAGGGTATTTTTGTTGTCTAAATGACCCAATGAAATCCAAATAATTTCTAGAAATCTCTAGTCTCTGATAAAATGTAGATAAATACGTGTCGTCGAATCCTATCAAATTATCTTCAATTTTGTTATTTATTTAAAATACCATTTATTTTATAGTAAATAAATATAGTATATTATAAAAAAAGTTAATACCAATATATTAGGCATTTTTTTTAAGTCGGGGGGTGTCCAGACATGGAGGACACCCCCCCAAAATACGCCACTGTGTTGTCCCAATTATTTGGAGTTAATAAATTTGAGTAAAGGATGACAAAGCAATAGATCATTTATTAAATTAATATCTTAAAGTGTCAATTTTAACTGGTTGGTTAAAGAAGTTATACATAATCACGTTATATGGTATTCGTGAACTGGCTTCGCCGTTTCGTTGCCTCTTAGTTAGGACATTAGAAACTAACCAGACAAAACTTTATTACACCTCGAATAGAGGTACTACGTCTATTATTTTTATATCTACTTGTATTTGTCGTTCTGAACCCTCGAACCATACGACCCCGATAGAACCACAACATCAGGTTCTCATTATACCAATCACCCATCACTCAATTTCATCATTTTTATTTTATCGATTATTGCTTTTTATTTTTGAATTATAACAATGTGTATTACACATTTTACGTAAATGTCAACAAAATAACTTTGTATGGGTAGATAACATTGGTCACTAACCATAATAGTTCAAGAATAATTTCCATTTCATTGTACCTACTTTTATAAGTAATCACAAGCAAAGAAAATTTATAGAAAAAAGAAATCAATTTAAGATACAATTTTTTATTACATTTATTTAGAGTAAATTTATTTTAAAATGTACAATTAATTCTACTAACAGTTAAATGTTTAAGATAAAAAATAAATATTTATACATTATTAGGCATTCGATCAAAGTAAAACAAAAATAAAGTACCAAGTGTTATTTTATAGGTATAAAACAATATAAATATTAAAAAAGTTTTTATTTGGTCCAACTGACTTTTGGTATATCAAAATGTTCAGTGAGACTATCGAGGTGTCTATTAAATTCTTCAACTCTTTGTTTATGTGTCATAGATGCAACTTTCATAATTTTTTCTTTTTGCTAAAAAAATTTACAAAAGTATTGTATTAATAATAAACATCATTCACTAAGAAATTATATTTATAGTAGTTTAAAAAAAAAGATAGCACAGTGGGATCGTGGCATAGTTAGTAATAGTATAGATGATATCTGACAGTGATAAAATCACTATCATAAGAAACGCTTCAATGCAAATCTGAAGATAGTTTTTAGTTTTAAGAAATTGGTGGATTAAATCAAAAGCAAAATTCTAACTCAAAAATAATTAAGGAAAAATTGCAAAAAGAATCATTGCCACAGGTAATGATTTTTACTAAATCAGCAATCGTTTGTCACATTTATTTTTTAATAAAATTGGCAATTTAAGCTGATTCAAATGTTAAAATTAATTTTTTCGACTTAAAAGAAAAAAAAATTGAAATAAGTTTCACTTTATGTTTTACGTCAATTAGTATTATATAATATTCATGAAAATCAGTATAACTCATTATAAAGTATATTAAAATAAATTAAAATACAAAATACAAAATTTTAACACAAAAATTGAGTTGAAAAAGTTCAACTAATAAAATCTCAAATCATAAATTTTAACAACAAAATTGCATGTTTTTTATCTACGGCAACCATTTTTACATAGAATAAAAATTGTCGGGGCAATTTTTTTTTTTGAACTTATAGTACATAACATAAGCTTTATTTTAGCAAATGTTTGAAACTTGGAGTATACCTGGAACATTTTCAAAACTTAAGTTGAAAAAGTTAAATTTTTGTGTAGAAGATGCAATTTTGAATCCTCTCTATGGGCAGGTAAAAGGTCAGATTTTCAAAAAATGTATATCAAATGAAAGGAAAATATCTAAAGTTTCAATATAAAAAAGAATTATTTTGATTTGTTCAATTTTCATTAAGTTATAGCAATTTTTAGAAAGAAAAAAAATGTCAAAATCGTAATTTTTGGGGGGATTTTCACTATTTACGGGGAACGAGGGCAAAATTTTCCATTTTTGAAGGTAATGTCTTCAACTAGATACGATTTGTGATCTTTTGACGTATTGTTGAGAAAAATCGGTATAATACAGATAACAAAAATAGAATAAATAAACACATTATGGTAAAATTAATACCTTCTCAGCTTCAAATCGAAGCTAAAAAAAAAAAATAACTAATTTTTACCAATTTCTCTTGTTGTTTCATAAATGCCAACTCAGCTTTTGTTGGTGGTACATAATGTTCTTTTAATTTTACTTCATTGTCCTCAATTCCTTTGTTAATCTTTTCTAATTCTTTTTCTTTAATCTTCTTTTTCTTTTTTTTCCTAATTAAATCATTTAATAATTAACTTTAAATTTAAATAAAATAAAATATTCTTATACTATTATCAATTGTATCATAAAATATAAATAAAGGAATCAAAATAATGACTTTATAGTTTTTCTCAGTAATTAAGTTAGGACTAAATTTAAGGAGGATTAAATATGAAGAAAATATTTTGATGTTTTAAATGTTGTTTTAAGATTTGTTTATTAAAAAATAATAAATTATGCAGAGGTATAAATAATTATGTCAGTTTTAATGAACGCATCAATTATCTCACTATGCCTAATCAGCCATCTGAAATGTGTACTCTCTCATAACAATTTTCGATGTGTGAAAAAATGTACTTTACTAAAACGTTCTCGTATCAGTAAATTTAATCTCTTTAATGAAAGTATAATAATAAATAATGACTTACTTAACAATTCCAGAGTCACATTTCAATTTTAATCGACCACTCGAAGCGACTTCATACTCAGACATTGTGAATATTTCGCTGAAGAAAATTTGTTCAAATTACTTTTTTTATTTAAAAGATGTGTATAATGTCAAGATGTGCTGCAATCATTAAATACATGAGAAAACTAGATAAACATAATATTTATTCATTACAGTCTATCCATTATACAAATGTTATATGAATACTGTAAACTAAAATTTGTAGTGGTAACAGTACATTTATCAGCTGATTTTTTTCACATAGATAAGATTGTAGAGAAAATCTAGTGTCAGCCGTCAACTTATCGCCCATTTCATCAAGTTCATGGAAATATTGTATTGCGAGTCGACGCCCGACACACCCTAACATTGAAAATCAACCTAGAAGTATTTTGTTTAAGTTATGCTATTTATGACACCTTTTAGAATTTAATTTTCGTCTCTTTCATTTGCCTGGCATAATATAATAGAATTAATTTAGTGAAACACTCTACGATGGGGTCCCTTTTTCGTAGTGAAGAAATGGCTTTATGCCAATTATTTTTACAAAGTGAAGCTGCATATGCCTGCGTTTCAGAACTTGGTGAATTAGGTTTGGTCCAGTTCAGAGATGTAAGCATATATTCAAATTTTTTTGGTTAGAAAAGTTTACTTGAATATTGTATAATTAATAATTTGACAATTTATTTTTAGTTAAACCCTGATGTTAATGCTTTTCAACGTAAATTCGTCAGCGAAGTACGCCGTTGTGATGAAATGGAAAGGAAACTCCGTTACTTGGAAAAAGAAATTAAAAAAGATGGAATTCCAATGTTGGATACTGGTGAAAATCCTGAGGCTCCACAACCTCGAGAAATGATAGATCTTGAGGTAACGTAAAAACTACTTTTTTACTATAGATTATTAGAGGTATTTTGTTTTCACATTAATGTTGTTGCTCTTGGTCATAAAAAAAATAGTTCATATAATTTCATAAGAGTATATCATCAGATCATTAAAAATTCTAAGATTTAATTTTCTGAAAAATATAATTTATTAATCTATTTGAAAAATCTTACGCAAATTTAAATTAAAAAATGTAAACACTTGTTGTTATTGTTGTCTAAGAGTACTTGATTTTATTATTTTATATTATTATTTAAGTTTTAATGTTAATATTACTTGAATCAATTTTTTTTTAATGTATTCTATTTTATAATTATGTTTAACTATAGGCCACATTTGAAAAATTAGAAAATGAATTGAGAGAGGTCAACCACAATGCAGAAGCTCTAAAACGAAACTTTTTAGAGCTAACTGAATTAAAACACATTTTACGAAAAACTCAAGTTTTCTTTGATGAGGTAAATATTAAAGTAAACTCATAAAATTTATAAAAAATATATAATTAGTATTAATAAGTATTGTAAACTAAATATATATTCTTAAGGTAAATTAATATGAACATTAAAATTATGATTATTCAAATATAAATCAAAATATGAAAGTGTCAAATAATTTAAATTTTATCAAAATCATAATTCAAGAATAAAATTTTTTTAAACTTTTATAAATGTTTACATAATACTATTTTTACATACTCAATACTTTCAGTTACTGGCAGCATCATATTATTCTAAAACCACCTCACCAACTATCATAAGGATTTCGTTTAATACTCATTTTGGTTTTTTATTTTTGCTTTACTGCATTTTCTATTTATTGTTTTATTTATTATTAAAATCATATGATTTCATCATCATTTTATTTTATTGATTTATGCTTTTTTAAAAATTGAATTGAATTGATTGAAACTATTTAGACATATATAAATAAATCTTCATGAAATACACATTGTAATACTTTTTATAAGCTAAAAAAATTGCTATTTTTAATTACTCGTATTTAAATATATATATATATATATATCACAGTTAAATTAGTACCTTTTTAGCTTTTCAAAGTTTGAAAAAAATTTTAATTTTACTAAGTATATTTACAAATTTTAATCTCAAAAATTAAATTAAATACAATTTTAAATAGTAAATACTATTTAATTTATAAAAAAATATATTTATTATATTTGTGTAAAATGAAATAGTAAAACAGAACAGGCTTAAGCAATTTACATTTATCAAATGAATCATTATTTACTATAGTAGGTTCAACTGGAATTGCAATATAATTCAGAATAATTATTCCATTATTGTGTTTTATCATTCCAATTTAATATTAATTGACTTATTTGTAGTTACTTTATTCATAAAATTAAAGTATTCAAGTATGTACATCTTGTCATCACATGCATGTAAACAAAGCTGTCTTTTCACTTAAACTGCCACAATTGCACAATCACTAATAAAATTATCTCCTATTTTTTATTTGTACGTAGTTAAGATAAAATATTTTAAAGTTTTAGTTGTAAATAATAGTTATGGTGTTGGTAAAATACTAATATAATTACATATCTATTATGTTAGAGACTTATGTCCTAGTTGTATGAAATTCATATTGTTTATTTATTTTGATGTTTAATAGTTAATGATAGTGCATTATATATAACTTTTTGTTTTTATAAAACTTATCATATTTTTTGATATGATGCATGTTAAGAATAACACATACTTTTAATTTTGAAATATTACATTATTTCTTTTACAGTTTTATGAGGTTAAAATCAAAATAAATAAGCAATTTGTATTTTTTATAAGCATGTTTCTTAGACAGTTGTAGTAAATACAAGGATACCTACTCTTTTATTTAAATTAATAAATTTAGACTTATATAATAAAAAGAGTAAAATTAAATTAGTTATTAATGTGTTTTTGCCATACTGGTTACATTTATATAGTTACATTATTAAATTTGTTTCTTTTTGGACAATCTTTTTCATTTTATTAAATTTGATGTAGTTATAATATTTTACTTTATTGAAAATAGATAAAAAAAATTTATTTTATAAAACCTATATTTTATCTAAAATAAATAGGTATATACAACTAATTCAATATTCTGGTTTTGGTAGATTTATCTTTAGTATAGTTTATTTAATTTATTTAAGCTTTATTATTTATTTGCTTTTTTTCAATGTCAGTGAGCATCAAAATATTCAGGCTTATTTGCATTGATCTTTTTTTTTTTAATATTTAAAAAAAATTATATATATATATATATATTTTACAAAATAAATGTCATATATGAATAATTTTGATGCACATTTTCATTAAAAAAACTTACTATTTACATTTCTATAATTAAAACATTTGTCTGGTGGGGTGGTGATGTCCGTGTGTTGTCCCTGTGCGTTTGCGTATATCTGTCTGTGTATGTGTGTGTGTGTGCGTTCGTATGTGTTGCCAGACTGAACAGAAAATGGGTACTGCGGTTGCTTCACAGATGGCTGACCCAAATCGGGAAGATGAGCAAGTTACGCTACTAGGTGAAGAAGGACTTCGTGCAGGCGGTCAAGCCCTCAAACTAGGGTAGGATTATAAATTTGCTATTTTCATATATAATTATTTAATTACACAATTTTTGCTATCATATTTTTTATAGTGTAATAATACATTAAATATGATTATCATAGTCTTGGATGATGAAAATATCTAGTAGGTTATATGTTTTGTTAGGAGTTTTTTGCAGAGTAGCATAATATATTTTTATAATAATGATTTAATTTTTAAAATTTATTTTTTTATTATCCTGAAAATAATTAGTAGTGATTTAAGAATATAAAAACTATATTGCTATTAAAGGGATGGATAAATATGAATTGGGTATTAATCAATATTTTTTAAAAATTTATATTATTTAATATATTGGAACTGGGAAGAATATTTTATTTATTATATTAGTATTAGTATTTTCATAGATAATTAACAAATATAAATATTAATGTAAAATTATAAAGAATGATTAAAGTAACCTTTTCAACTGGAAATTTTTAAATATATTAGTAGAAATGATTATCTATTTAACTATATCATTATAAAATATTTATTTTAATTTACATAAAATATTTCGGCAATAAATAAAATATTATTTTAAAATACAGTTTTTTATTTTATATTTATCATTATCAACTTCTTATCATAGTAAATTTACTAAAAAATATTGTAAAATTTCCTAATGAAAGTTTTATTTTGGTTGTTACATCATTTTTAATTTTTTAACTATTACTATAAGATACATTTATACTTTACATACATAAAATGAGGGATTTTTGAATGTTATTTCATTTAATATTTTCATTTTTATACCAGGCCACTTAAAACTTATAATAAATATATTATGTAGAAACTTAAATAAATAATCATTTGAGAAATAGAGCTCTGAATCTAACTATTTCTGTAAAATAATTCTCATGTAAAAATAAATAAGATATTATAATAGTATTATTATAATAAGTTTTTATTATTATTGTATAATCACATTGTAAAATTAATTTACATTAATCTGAAAGTAATGAATAATTATGCAGTATTTTAGTCTGCATTTTGTAAATTTTACTTACTAATCAGATTGCAAAATTTGTAATATATTACTGTACTGTATTAACTAAAAATGTGATTGTGGTGGAAGTACTAAAAAATAAAATGGTGATATTGTTAAATGTATATACCCAATAAATAACAATTAGAGAACTATGTGTTGATTGTGGAATGTTTATTTATGGAATGTTTAAACTGGACCTGGGATTTTATTAATGCATTACTGTTGTATTTATTTTCTTTAAAATATATTGAATAATTAAAATTATTCACAAATTACTTTAGAGCTTTAAATTTGAATAAATGTTTAAAATATTTGATGGTTTGTAAAATGTCTACTAATAAGTTAACTTAAAACAACAGTTTTGTAGTTACACTTACACAAATAATATCATTCACGCTTATTACTTAATTAACATATATAATAATAATAATTAAACATTGTAAATTGGTTAAATCATTACAATGTAAAGTAAGTTGCATTTGAAATAGGTGCTTCAACATTCGCTGCTTTGCTTTATCATTCTTATATACTTATGCTACTTAAATAATGAAACAAAAAAATGTATTAAATTATATAATTATCTTTATCAATGGTGTAGTCGAGGGTATGACTACATGATGTACCTCCTAAATTTCTATTTATGCTTGTACCTGTAACAAAAATCTAGATTTGCGGTACACAAACATGATAACTGACACTTTAAGATTTAATTGTAAATATTTAGTCTCACTTTATGTTATCATTAAAAAAATGTATATAATTATTAGAGTGCTTTCACATTTTTTAAATTTGTTTAGACCATTTCTAAAATACTCAGCTCTATGTTAATTTACAATGGACATATACAGTACCACAGAAAATTATTTGTTATAGAGAGGAGTGATACCTTCCATAACTAAATTCTTTTTTAATATACATTGTATAGTGTTAAGAAAACAAACACTAATATTTGTTTATCATTTATGTACCTCAGGATAACTAAGATAAACTTGCATAAAGTTCTAAATCCTAGTTATTATATTAAAAAAAATTTGTTCATAAAAATTGTAAAACATTTACTTTTTTGCTTCACTGGTAATAGTTTTCGTGTATCAAGTATTTTTAAATACCTTTTTTTAAAAAAAATTTACACTACAACCTTTTCTCAAAAAAATATTCTTGGATGTAGGAGGTAATATTTTGATTTAAGGATGTACTCGTGAACTTTTTTAAGACTACACCACTGATCTTTACACTATCATTCGTTATAAAAGTTATGATGAATTTCATACTTGAATTATATTCAGTAATTTCACATGTCAAATTGGAATTATATTAAAAGTGACATTTTTAGATGCTATAACTAAAATGAGTCGAGACATTTTCTATTACTGCACATTATTAATTGAAAATTAAATGTTAATTTCCTTAAGCTTGACTCTGTTCAAAAATCATCATTAAATTTAAATAAATATTATAAATGAATAATAGTTTAATGTAAATTATATTAAAACAAAAAATATATATAAATTACTCTTTTTTTTTTTTTAATAAGAATAATGATTATTTTTAAATAAATATATATAGATATAACATCATATATAACTGATCATTTTTTTTACCCCGTTTGTGTGTGTTCGTGTACAATAGCAAGAGGGTGGTATACACCCAACAGAATCAATGACACGTGCTCTGATTAGTGATGATTCGATTGCACGTCAAATCAATGCTGGCCCAGTACAATTAGGGTATGTACCTATTTATATTGATTTTCTTTTTAACTACACATTAAGTTTATTTAAAACAAGTTTAAATAATAAATGTGTCAGTTAGAAAGCAAAAACAAAAATACTTTTTAAGTTGTAACTTTAATACATCTCTTTATAATTTTCTTTTCATACTAATAATATGGGCATTTATTAAATGTTTTGCTGTGGAATTTATTTTACTTTTCTAATGTTATTTGTTATAATATTTTTTACAAGCGCTATAATACTACATCATTGCCAATTTGGTGAGTGGAATAAATAAACAAGTTCAGGTCCAGTTAAAACATTGGTTATTAGGAATTATATATTTAATTCCATCACAATCATAATTATAAGTGATCATACCTAATTAAAAAATAATTTTGTCTTATATGTTCTACATTAATATAATTAATATTATAAATTAAATTTCAAAATAAAATAATTTTTTTTTTAACAAATTAAGATTTGTTGCTGGAGTAATATTACGTGAAAGAATTCCTGCCTTCGAAAGAATGTTATGGCGGGCTTGTCGTGGTAATGTTTTTTTGAGACAAGCTGAAATAGAAACCCCCTTGGAAGATCCATCAACTGTCAGTATTTATTTTATGTTATCTATTAATACTTATTTTTTATTTATGATTTTGATCTATTTGTTATGTATTTACTGGTTTATAGGGAGATCAAGTGCACAAATCAGTATTTATTATATTTTTCCAAGGAGATCAACTCAAGTCTCGTGTAAGAAAAATCTGTGAAGGTTTTCGTGCTACATTATATCCATGTCCTGAAGCTCCATCTCAACGCCGTGAAATGGCTATGGGTGTTATGACTCGCATTGAAGATCTTAACACTGTAAATATTAAATTTAGCATTTTATAACAAATAGTTAAAATTATTTATAAATTGTATATTTATATTAGGTGTTAGGTCAAACTCAAGATCATCGTCATCGTGTCCTTGTTGCAGCTGCTAAGAATATTAAAAATTGGTTTATTAAAGTTGTCAAAATCAAAGCTATTTATCATACATTAAATTTATTCAACTTGGACGTAACACAAAAATGTTTAATTGCTGAATGTTGGGTACCATTACTTGATGTTGAAACTATCCAACTTGCTCTTCGTAGAGGAACTGTATGTTTAAAGAAAAAGATTATAACTTGGATATTTTTTCAATTTTCTATTTGTAACTTTTTATTTTAGGAACGAAGTGGAAGTTCTGTTCCTCCTATACTTAATAGAATGGATACATTTGAAGATCCACCAACCTATAACCGCACTAATAAATTTACAAATGCTTTTCAAAACTTGGTAGATGCATACGGAATAGCAAGTTATAGGGAAATCAACCCAAGTATACCAAAAATTAAATAAAGTTATTTATGTTTTTTATATTAATTTAAAAAAAAAATTTTAGCTCCGTATACTATTATCAGTTTTCCATTTTTATTTGCTGTCATGTTTGGTGATCTCGGTCATGGTGCAATTATGTTTTTATTTGCACTTTTTTTGGTACTACGGGAAAAACCATTAGCTGCCAAAAAATCTGACAATGAAGTTAGTGAAAAATTTTATTCATTAGAAAAGTTTTTTTGTAGTTTTATTTTATTTATTTTTAGGTATGGAATATATTTTTTTCTGGTCGTTACATTATATTATTGATGGGCCTATTCTCTATGTATACTGGTCTTATATATAATGATGTATTTTCTAAATCTCTCAACGTATTTGGATCACATTGGCATACATTTTATAATACATCTACTGTTATGGATAATAAAGCCCTTCAGTTAAATGTATCTAGTTCAGATTTTTATGATCAAATTCCTTATCCAGTAGGACTTGATCCTGTTTGGCAGGTATAACACCTAAGTTGTTTTACTTTTACATTACATTAAGAGCTTTTTAATACAAGCACAAAAAATAAAATAAAATTATTAAGTTCTACCATTTATAACATTTTAAAAATAGTTTCAGTATTGAGTACAAATAATTGTTTTTATATCTGGAGAGTTTTATATAAAATAGAATGTATCATCAGTTTTAAGTAATGAACTCACTTGAATAAAATTTGATCACTCTTTGTCTAAAGTAATAACAATGTTATTGACATCAAATAAATTTTTATAAAACATAATTTTAAATGATAGTGCTGATGTTAAATGATACTTGGTATTTTATAAAGCTATTAAAATAGTTTTTTCCGTTATATTCTTCCTTGAAGTGATTTCTCAATATTATTTGCTTGATATGACATATTATATTTCATTGAATTTGACTCTTATTTTTTATATTCTTAAATATTTACAATTTTTTGAAATAATAAAATTGACATTTTTACTATTATTTTAACACTACTAAATACTGTTATAAATTTATAATCTTTCATTTTAGCTTGCCCAAAACAAAATTGTATTTTTAAATGCATACAAAATGAAAATTTCCATAATCATTGGAGTGCTTCACATGCTTAGTGGGGTTGCTTTAAGTTTATACAACTACAGGTAATAATTTCAAATTAAAATTAGTCTGATTTTAAACATTAATTTACCATGTTATTTTTACAGATATTTTAATGATCGACTTGCTATTATTTGTGAATTTATTCCTCAATTAATATTTTTGACATTCTTGTTCTTTTATATGGTGTTGTTAATGTTTATAAAATGGATATTTTATGGTCCTCAAAATGGTAAGTGAATAAAAAGATATATATCTACATATAATATTATTATCATGTAATTATATCAGTGAAGAGTGATTCTGAATGTGTATTTGAAGAAAATTTCCCTTGTAAAATATTTTGAATTATTATTAATTATAAATATGTAACTTATTTGTTAAACCAATCATTTACAAAGTTTCATAGTCCCTAATAAAAAACTATAAATAGGTAAAATAAAATTTGTATTTGTAATAAATCAAAACTAGATAATTGGTTCAGTATATTTTAACATGGTAAAACCATGTAACTCAATTTTTCGACAAATTTACAAATAGAATAATTATTTTAACTCTCAGTTATCAAAAAAATTTTTATTTCAAGAAAGCTTTAGCATATGTCAACATTTAAAGTATAGATTTCTCAACAAAATTATTTTTTATCATTTTGAGGTGCATAATGTTGCTATGAAAACGACAATATTTCTAATCTCTCCAAATTGTTTTAAATCACGTGATACAAAAAATAGGGTTTGAAATGAGTTGGTGATACATGGAAATAAGAAGTTAAAAATTGTTATCCTAAATGATTCAACTAATTTATTATTATGCATTAAATATTAGATATCTTTAGATCTATAGTCTAATCAAAAGACTTAAAGAAAAAATTTCCTGGATTAGTTAATTTAATATAATGGAATAAGTTTAGTTAATCAAAAATTATTTTTAAATAATATATTATAACTTGGGTAACTCAAAAAATTATTTTGAATAATTTATCTTAATTTTAATTAAAAGAAAATTCTAAATAAAAATATAAAACTATGAAATAAATTGTTTATATCCATTAAAAAAAGAAAATTCCCCCTTCACCCTTCACCCTTCTAAGACACTTAGCCCATTTAATATGTTATTAGGTTTGGAACTAAGAATATTTTTCTGGGACTAACTCAATTTTTAATTTTTTAGTACAGGGCACATTAATTAATATTAAGTCCTCATAAATCACATAAAAATTTGACTTGATAGTTAATGTTCATAAATTTATAATGCTAGCATAAAGTGATAAGTATATATTGTTTTTAATAGAATTTACAAAAAGTCCAGCTTGTGCACCTTCTATTTTGATAACATTCATCAACATGGTATTATTTAAAGAAGCTGAACCATTAGCGCATTGTGAATCTGTTTACATGTTCCCGTTACAAGTAATTTGGTCCATGAATTTTTTTTTATTTTTTTTTAAACTCAACTAAAACCAAACTTTGAGTGTTTGGTTCAGTTTATTAATCGAACTTAAAATTTTAAGAAATCAAACTAAACTTTTTCTTTGTAAATTAATTAAAAAATCAAACTAGTATAATCAAACATAATGCTGTATTTGTTAAATAATGATGCCAAAAAAATTTTGCACAAAAATAATTAAAATTGACGTTCTGTTCAAGTTCAATTAAATATTTAATTGTTCAGTTCAGTTTGAGTTTGACTGAAAAATTGAAAGTTCGGTTTGAGTTTGGTTTAACCCCAAAAATCAGGGTTTTGTAACATTATTTATTATTTAAAAATATATTTAAATATTTAGGGATTCTTACAAAAATTATTAGTATGCATAGCACTTCTATGTGTTCCAATAATGTTACTAGCAAAACCAATTTACATTATGCGCCAACAAAAAGAAAAACATGTTCAAGTAATTTATTTTATCTTATACAATAATTATATATATATATATATATATTATATATAATTGATTTTGGTAAATAGTTAGTAAATGGACATGCCACAACTGAAAATGGAGATGCTGAAGGAGCAGGTCGTATTGTACAACAACCAGCAGCAGGTGGTCATGGAAATCATGATGAAAATGAAATTGGAGAATTATTTATTCATCAGGGCATACATACTATTGAATATGTACTCGGATCTGTCAGTCACACTGCTTCATATCTTCGGTTATGGGCTCTTTCTTTAGCTCATGCTCGTATGTTATTATTGTTACCTAAAAATTATAACAAACCGTTTTATTTATTTTAATTTTCAACCTTTAGAATTGTCAGAAGTACTTTGGAGTATGGTTATGACTAAAGGTCTCATATTAGATTCGTGGATTGGTGGTGTATGGCTATGGGCTGTCTTTGCTTTCTGGGCAGTTTTAACTGTCGGTATCCTTGTTCTAATGGAAGGTCTTTCAGCATTTTTACACACACTTCGTCTACATTGGTAAATAAAAGTATCATTTTATTTTTTATCTATTTTACTTTAAAAAAAAATATGTTATTTAGGGTTGAGTTCCAGAGCAAATTCTACAAAGGACTTGGTTATGGATTTGCGCCATTTTCTTTTGAAGTAATTTTAAATACAGCTGCAACAGCAACAGAAGAATAATTCTTTTATTAGATTATGTAGTAGTTTTTAGAACTGTATTATTTCACATATGAAATAATATCATGTGTAATTATTAATTTTTAAAAAAAACCATTCCAAATTTTTTATGACTTGTATATTTTTTTTTCCTTAAAGTCTTATTTTATGTTAAGGATTATTATTTCTAAAAAAATATTAAATCTTATTATTTATTTATTTTTTTTTATAGTTCAATAAAATTAGTACATATCTATTTATTTATGATTACATTATTGATAAGATATCTGAAAGAGATTTAGTATTTATAAAATTAAATATCTACAGTACTTTTAATTAAGAAATCAATTTTTTTGTGTACTTATTATTTTATAATGATTATATCGTTTTATAATTAATAGAACTCTTTAGTTGATCCATAAAAGTTGTTTTAGTATTAAAATAAAGAATGGGGTGTAATGTGTAATGATCCTATGTCAAGTTTCATTGTTAAAAAGTTTTTTTTAAATGATTTATCAATGCATATACTAATGCAATAAGAAACAAATATTTTATGTAAAAAAAACAATATCAACTGTTGCAGGCTTGGTGTAAATAACATTTTTATTAATAATTTTAGCTTCGATGCGAAGCGGAGAAGGTATTAATTTTACTATGATGTGTTTTTTTTTTTATGTCTGTTGCCACTTTTTCTCAGCTCTCACTGAACCGATTTCTTTCAAAAATACGTCAAAAGATCACAAATCGTATCTAGTTGAAGACATTACCCTTAAAAATTGAAAAAAATTCCCTCGTTCCCCGCAAATGGGGGAAATATCCAAAAAAATTACAAATTTAAAAATCGCTAATTTTCGAAATTTTTTCACTTTTTTTTCTTAAAACTTCCATAACTTTTTGAAAAATCAACAAATCAACATAATTTTTTTT